TAGCCAGTCTTCCTTTTGATTGCATTGTAGTAGTTGTTTGGGCATCAAACTGGCATCAGGATGGATCTTATAGGCGGTCCGGCGTTTTTTATTATTTTAAGGAACATTTCCTGCTGTAAGAATTGGGAAGACAGTGGATAGTGCAAGGAAGAAGGTGTGGAAGTGTTTGAGTCAAAGAAAACAAAGTAACAAAGCTCTGTGATTGAGCTGAAGGTAGAGTTCTATCCCAATGTGTGTCTTAAAGACCTGGCTTTGGATATAGCTTTAATACTCGGTTGTCCTTTCCTTCTAAGCTAGTATCAAACATGGTCAGGCATTTATTTGGTTGTTTTGTAGGAAAGGATATTCTCTGAAAGCTGTATCTTAAAATAAGAGAAGTGACAAACAACAAAAACCAAAGCATCTTTGTTTTTTTCCTTGGTGTGTGTTAGCTCATATTGGGTCTTACAGCCCAGATATGTACAAAATGGAGGGAACTGAGAAGGGGCACAAGTGCACGCATGCACGCGTGTGCGCTGACACATGCAGTATTATAGGTAAAGGATTAAGCATCTTGAAGGAATAAGCCAGTTATGAGAAGTTCCTGCACAGCAAAAATTAGACAACACAGTAATTAATAACCTTATTAAATAGCAATATTTGGGCACTGAACCAAAGCGTATGAATCAGAGTGAGGCATTCTTGGCTGCACACGCTGGGTGAAGTGTAGACTCTTGTGCAGAATGCTTTCTGGATAACTGAGTAAGCTGTGGGGCAGAGTGTCTGCTTAGCAGCTAGTTTTTCCTCTTGTCTTTTCACGTTTATGTGAGTCTCCCTTCTTCTTTGGGCCAGGAAGGTAGCAAAAGGACGAGGTCTCTGAGGTTCTCAGCATCCTCTCTGTGGCTTGGGAGGGCTCTGTCCGTGTGCCATAAGCCACCGAGGAGCACAGTGACCCCGGGGTGGTGCTGGGTGCTGCTGAGGGTGTGCAGCTTCTCTGCAGAGTGCTGGAGCTGCTGTGCAGAAGTGCGGGGCTGCAGATGGCCATCTGCTGTGTGCGGAGTGTGGGCCAGGGACAGCCTGTCTGCTGCCTTCCACGGCAGTTCTCATTTTCTTCTAAAGTCCCTGGAGCACTGTTGCAGCCTCACAAACCAGGCGTTGTCAGAGCAGTGGTGCTGCCTCCTGGAAGAGATGTGAAGGCACATGTGAGATGAGGAGGTGACCCAAGACAGCCAGCACGGCTTCGTCAAGGACAGAGCTCACCTGGACAATCTGATGGCCTTTTGTGATGGAGTGACAAAGTGGATAAAGGGAGGGCAACTGATGTCATCTGCCTGGAGTTCTGCAAGAACTTTGACACAGTCCCACACCACATCCTGATCTCTAAATTGGAGATGGATTTGAAGGCTGTATTGTTTGGTGGATGAAGAGTTGGTGTGATGGTCACAGCCAGAGGGTTGTGGTCAATGGCTCAATGTCCAGGTGGAGGCTGGTGATGAGTGGTGTCCCCCAGGGGGTTGACTCAGGACTGGTGTTCTTCAGTGTCTTTATCAATGACACAGTTGGATTGAATGCTCCCTCAGCAAGTTTGCTGACGACACCAAGATGAGTGGTGCAGTCGACACGGTAGAAGGAAGGGATGCCATCCTGCGTGGACTCACGTGAGCCTAATGAGGTTCAAGAAGGTCAAGAACAAGGTATTGCACTTGAATCAGAGCAATCCCAGACCTGAGTACAGACTGAGAGAAGAGCTCCTTGAGAGTGGACCTGTGGTAATGACCAGGGGGTCCTGATGAACAAAAAGCTCTGCATTGGCCAGCAGTGTGCTCCTGCAGCCTGGAAGGCCAACAGCATCCTGGGCTGCAATAACAGAGGAGGAAGCAGTGGGCAGGGAGGTGATTGTCCCCCTCTGCCCTGCTCTTGTGAGGCCCTACCTGTAGTGCTGTCCAGACCTGGGGCCCCCAGCACAAGAGAGACATGGGGCTTTGGAACAGGTCCAGAGGAGGCCATGAAGATGCTCTGCGTGCTGCAGCACCTTTCCTATGGAGACAGGCTGAAGAAGCTGGGGGTGGTCAGCATGCAGAAGAGAAGGCTCTGGGAAGACCTCATTGCAGCCTTCCAGTGCTTGGAGGAGCTTATAAGCAGGAGGAGGAATAACTTTTTACATGGTCTGGTAGTGACAGGACATGGGATAATAATTCTAAACTAAAAAAGTAAAAATATAGGTGAGATGATAGGTGAGATTCTTTTCTCAGAGTCACTGGCAGTGTTGCCCAGAGCCGTGGGTGCCATCCCTGGAGGTTCTTCAGGCCATGGAGGGGCCCTGGGCAGCCCGAAGTGGGGGGCAGCCAGGCCATGGCAGGGGTTTCAAACCAGATGGTCTTCATGTTACCTTCCAATCCAAGCCATTCTTTGGTTCATTGATGAAGCAGTGGTATGGCCTCACATACCCAGCCTTGCCACAGCATGCATGGAAGTCTCTGCAGCTGGCTGGTGAGCTCACCCAAGGCGGAAAGGAGCCCAGAGCCCCAGTTTCTGTGGTTGATGACAAGCTGCAAGTGCCCAATGTGCAGAATAGGACATGCAAAATGCTTGGTGTCCTGGCCTGTGTATATATCTCCTGATGTGCTGCTTGGCACAGCAAGTATTTTTGAAGCTCTGCTGCTCTTTCTAAGCCCATTTTATCTCATCTTTAAGGAAAATCAAATAGGCAAATCATGAAATCAATTAGCATCTTTGTAGTTTTCTGTGGAGAGACAGAGATAAATGGTGTTGTGTTTCCAGAAATCATTTCTGTCCCTTGTTATGTGTTGCAGAGAAGGTTGTGGAACATACAGGGGAAGGAAACAATTTTTTTTTTCCAGTGGAAGAGATTTTAATGTATGTCCTGACCACGATCCTTGGTGTAAGGGGAGGCGGAGCACACGACTCACAAATATTTTTAATGTAAGGGATTTTGGTGTCTATCCAAGAGGACTTTGTGGCTTTCCGTGAGCAGTGGTCATCCGGGCTGGAGGCTTCCTGGCGTGTGCATCAGGTGCTTTCTCTGTGCTTTGTTTGTAAATGCCATTTCGCGGGAGCAGCGGGGGACTCCAGGCTGCGTGTTGGGAGGAGTTATCACTCCTCGAGCCCTGTGACACCACCTGAGGTGTGCCTTAATAGCACGGGGATACAATGACTGCCGTGCCTTATTGCTTCCATACGAGACACACATCAAAGTGAAATCTCCATGTTGGTAATGGGCTATCAATTGCTTTACCCTCTTCATCCTTGCTGCAGTCGTCTGCCGTAAAATTTTAAGTGCATCGGCCATGGGAGAGAAACAAAAGGCAGGAGGTCAAGTGAGACAGAATAATAATGGGGCTTATGTATTTTTTATTCTTTTTGCCCTGGCAGTTTTCAGCCCAGTGTGCAGAAAGCGAGGTGAAAACACCAACGAGTCAGGCTAGAGGGATGGGCCAGATGCACACAAAAGCTTTTGCCAGTGCTGCAGCGTGGGTAAGGGATGCGCTAGCTGGGAAAAAGGATGCTTGCTGCCATTGGGAAAGCTGTTGTATAGCTCCTGCAGGGGGCTGACACAGCTCTGTCACTGGTGGGAGGGCTCTGCCCAAGCTGGGGGGCAAAGGGAGGGCTGCCCACACCAGTGGCTGTGTGTGTTTGTGACTGCAGGTCACTGGGGAAGAAAACAATAAAGTTGCTTGGAGGTGTTTCAATGAGTATCTTAAAATGAGAAGCTTATTTGAAAATTAAATAAATACCTTTTGGGAAAATTCATGAGTAACGTTGACCAACCTAAATGAAACCTAAATGATGGTAAATGTATACAACCTTCTTCCCTGGATTTCCTTCTCCTCCAAGGGGAAAAACAGCGTTTGCTCTGCAGAAATGTTGGGAATAGAGAATGTTCAGCTGGAAAACTGAAGATCTGGAGTACACAGTAAAATTTTTTGATATTTCTGCCCAGCTTCCTCCATTTTGAAGCAATGCTGTGTAATGAGCAGTCCTCCATGGCCTCCCTTAGCAGGGCTTTTCTGCTTCTAGACCTCTTGGAGAGCCTCACAGTGGCTTTGCAGTGGTGTACATGCACTGCCTGGGGACGTCTCTTTGCCTGAAGAACAAATGCTTTCGGGCTGCTGATGCAAAGTGTGAGCATCCTGGGCCTCTCTGTGCCCATAGAATTGCCTTGATGTGATGCTGGCCATGCACCAGACTTGGCCACAGTGCCTTCTGTCCCTTTTACTCCTTCGGTGCTTTGTCCAGTGTAGTGTTTGGAGCTGAGTTGCTGCAGGAGAAGCACAAGTGGTTCAGAAGCAATCCAGCACTGCTCTCCGAGACCAGATGGGAGGTTTGACATTTGCATGGCCAGAGGCCGGAGTCTGAAAACCTCATTAAAAGAAGGCGAGCTACCAAGTTCTGTGGCCTTAGGAGAGCTTTGTTTGCTGTTGTTTTAACTGGCAGTCATTGCTATGAGCAGAAATCTGTGCGGCGTTCGTGTCGGCAGGCGCTGCTGCCCCAGGGTTGTGGTGCTGCAGCTCACCTCCCAGCCCTGCCCGCAGCTCCATCGCATGGAGGCAGCAACCTGTGGCTGTGTTGGGATGGGCACCACTGCTCCTGGGGCCGTGGTGGAGCGCAGGCTGTTTTCTCTACCAACTGCTGGGCTCTGCAGCACTTTGACCTTGATCATCGCTCTAGGCTTAACTAATTAGCTACCACAACTGCTGATATAAGAAGGGGGAAAAAGAAAGTTGCAGTTTGTCTTGTAACTCTTCTTCCTTTTTCTCTCTGCGTTGCCATGTGCATAAATTGTTTTGGAGCCCTGAGCTTGCATCTTCCCTCGCCCTCAGGAGCCACGTGCTCTCAGTACTGCCTGTGCCGGTGCTGCAGGAGCGGCGCAGTGAGCACAGCCCCAGATGTTGGCTTCCTTGCTGTCCCTTCGTTACCTGGCTGATCTGCTGCATGGCAGGGCTCTGACTCTTTTTCTTTCTCTCCCTTTCTCCTCCTCTCTTTCTCTCTGTCTCTTGCAGTATGCAGTACTGGGCCAGAAGGCTGGAGCAGGAGATTGATGGCGTGATGAGGATATTTGGTGGCGTCCAGCAGCTCAGAGGGGTAAGCTGTCTGTCTTTTATCTGTGCTGCCTTCCTCGTGGCCGTGAACATCCCCATTGCGGAAATCACCCCTGTGAGCACTCATGGTGTGTCAAGCTCCCAGCTGGCTCCACGTGCCGGGGCACAGCTGGCTGTGCTGCTGCTTGCTGCTCTGTGCCATGCACTTAGCAGGCGTGTGGGAGTGGATGTGGCTCACATCTGTCTGCTTCTCCAGGGCCGCGTGTCACTGCTGCCTGAGCACGTCCCCGTGTTTCTGCATGGCATGCTGAACGCATCTCAAATCCAACCGTTCCTCCAGCACTGAAGGTGGTTTAATTTGTGCTTTAATTTCAAACTTCTGTTGACCAAGCAGGAAATGTCCGAAGGGTAATTTGACTAACATTGGAAATGATGTGTTTTTAAAGAGAGATTGCAGGTAAAACTGCAATTCTTGATTGGCTCCTGTTCTCCCAGGGCCTCAAAGCAAATCCCTGTTAGCACTGCTGCCATGTAACGCCCCAAAGTGGGCATGGTGGTGGTCCTGGGCTGCAGTGGGCAACTATGGGAGGGGCACTTAAGGGAAGCTTCACTATGCTCTGTGAACCTTGAGGATCAAAGGGTCTCTAGGACCTGCACGGTTCCCCTTCCTGGCACTGTTTGCCAGCCGAGCTGTGATGAAATGCAGTGATTTGAGCTTAGAGTCATGGCGTTAATCTAAAGAAAATAGGCTTCTTGAGCATGATGGATGTGTTACCCCAGAAACAAGCACGGGGCGCACTTGGGTTTTCTCATGGCAGGTCCTTAGAAGCCAATGGCATATGGGCCTCTTGCTGCCTTGTACCAGTAGCTATACTGGTTTCAACAGAGTTGTTCACCTTCCATGCTCCTGGTCATCATCCACTGCCTAAACTCAGAAGTTGCACTGGTTTCTTTTAAATGCACTTTAAAACGAGTTGAATTGAAGGCATGCAAAGCTGTTCATAGTCTGCCCATTTGCTTGTATCACATTTGAGCTTCAGAGAGGTCTGTCTGGGTTTCTCTTGCGTTCTCTTCCCCGGGGCTGATAGACACTCCATGTGCTGCATGGAGAGCATGCACACCCCTTGGGGTTGGCCACATATGTTGATGGTATCTCTGCATTTCTGCAATGCAGTTTTGCGTGTTGGCAAGGTGTGGAGTCAGAGCTGAGGATGCAGGTTTTCCAGGCAAAGGCACAATGGGCTCTGTAATCTATAGCAAAGCACAACTCAAAAAAAAAAAGAAAAGAAAAAAAAAATTGACTGCCACTACATTTGGTACATGTCCTCTCTCTTACAATTTATTCTTATTAGCTTTGATTTTGCTTCTTTGCATGCTAAATAGGTATATCATGTAATTTTTTTAATGCTGTAATTAAATAGAAATTACACCTCCAATTTGCCAGCACTTGACTCCTATTGGCCAGTCAGTCAATTACAGGTAAGAGAGCTTCCCACTTTTTCTGCTTAACTCTTCTGTAGAACAGTGCGTCGCTGTAATGGATTGATACAGGATGAAACTGAATACAGAAGGACTGAAGGGTTTTTTGGTGTTTTTTTTTCTTTTTTTAAATCTGTTTTGGAACCATCCTGTGAAGCGAGGAGTCGTGCACAATTATTGTCTGTGGAATGTTAAAACCACCTGAATTCAAGAGATGAGCTATTGAAAATTCCAACGTGCAGCTGTTAAAACACCAGCTAAGAGTAGCGGAGGCTTTCTGTGGGTCTCCCTGGGGGTCTGGGGCTGCGAGGTTCAGGTTTGATTCATAAATGGAATATCAAGTGAAGTACACTTCTCTCAAAGACCGCATTACTTGCAAGTGCTAATGTGAAATTACAGAGAGTGCTTCATCCTGAGGAATTCAGCACTGCACGTCCTCCTACCTGCCAGTTGCAGGCAGGTGCATCCGGGCTGCAGTACGAGAAGTGTTTAATGTCATAAAGTGGCCTTATAACCTGCATTGAGACATTAATCAATAAAAAGCCCTCTTTTGCATGGTGGAAACGGAGCCCTTGTGCCCCTGTGCCCACAGGATGTGTGGCTGTACCCCTCCTGCAACCCCCGCCAGGATCACCATGCTGCCGAATGGAGTGCCACCCACCCAAGGATGGCTCTTATTTTAACTCTAAAATCATATCCTAGGATGAAATTCCTTGCATTGTTTTATCCTGCAGTAAAGAACACTACCCTAAAAATTTCTCTCCATGGCCCCAGTACACGCTTTGTCACTTCAGAGGACAACAAATGTGTTCAGGGCATTTCCCAGCAGCCCGCACTGAACTCCTTTCTTCCAGCACTTTCGCACAAGATGGTCAGACGTGCTGTTATCAAAGGAGCTGCCAAGGTTTTCTGTTCGGCTTTTTGATCTTGGGTAACTACTGACCTAACAATAACATGGCCTAGATCACCCAATGAGCTGTGGGATTGCATCATGTTTGTTTTGCTCGCTTTTGTTTTGCCTGCATATGGAAACGCATAGCGGGTCGTTCAGGAGGGATGGAAAGTTTGGAGGGTGTTTGTGGTGCTTCCAGCCAACTGTGCTGCAGAATGGGAGCCTCGCTGCACCGTGCTGCACATTGAGACCATGTCCACACCAGCTGCTGGGCAGAGTGGGCTTCCCAGTCAGCAATGCAGTCTTCACACTCATGAGGTTCAAGGCCAAGAGGTTGGGATACCAGCCTCCTGATGTTCCATCCTGTACCATAACCCGCAGACTGACTTCAGAACCCTGTAGCAGAGTGCCCCTGGCCTTTTCCTTTGGCAGCCAGCCTCAGGTGGCAGAGAAGCGGTGCACATGCCAGGTGCCCACCTGCCTGCAGCAGACACTGCCTGGGGTGATGATGCTCCTGCAGTACCCACCTCACCCCTGCTGTTCCTCCCCTTCCCCCCCAGGCTGCCCCTGCGCACTGCTGCTGTGTCCTCCTCTGCTCCTCGGGGCTGATAAGAGGAAGTGTGCGATGCCAGATAAACACATCCCTGTTCCAAACTTGGGTTTATTTTAGTCTGCCTGGGCCGTTCCGCAGCCTCAGCACTCCGCCGAGTGCACAGCCAACAGTTTGTTATCAAGGAGGAGTGCTTGGATGTCCATAGCCTCGCAGCAGCTCTGCTCGGGGAGGGCAGTCCTATGCCATCCTTCACAGGGACAGTGCCTGCTGCCAGCACCCATCGTCCCACTCCTCTTCTCCCCTACAGGAACCATATTGCATCCATCCTGGAAGACGTCAGGGAAGCATATGCTCCTGCCTTTAGTGCATTTGCATAATTAGAGTAATGTGTATGAATAATTTATGGCCGCATGTGGCTGCTCTTGGTGTGACGTTAGCACCCTCACTAAGCCTTTCCCGGTACCGGTGCAGGTCCTGCTTCAGGGTGCTGTGCAGGTGCAAGAGCCTGCTTTGAGGGATTTACGTGTGTGTGTGTGTGTGTGTGTGTGTTGGTGGTTTAGCAGAGAAAGGTGGGCTGCTGCAGCTGCAGGCTGGCAGTCTGAGGCTAAAATGCCTTCAGCTCGCACACTGAAAACCTGCCCCCTCTATGCAGAAGCTGTGAATTGAAATGTTCTGCAACATTTCAAAGCTGAGGCCGGGATTTTTCCAGCAGGATTCAGGTGTGACTGGTTTGTTCATTTGTGCCAGATTTTCATGACTTTTTTAGATCATAGAGCAACTTATCAGCCTGCGTGGGAAAGGAATAGACCTGCCTGTGCTGTGTGGCACAGCCCGGGCACTGTCTTGCTTTTTGCCAGCTCTTTCTGAGCAGGTTCCAAGACTGGAAAGCCCAGCTCTGGGGGAGCGATCTGAGTGGTTGAAATGGGGCTTTCATGTTCTAGCTAATTTTAGTTCTACTTGCTCCATCTCTGTTGCTGGAGACTGAGAGCAGTGTGAGAACTGCAGGACGGCTCATGAGTTACCCACTGGGAGATTGAAGCGGGTGCTTGGGGCCAGGGCTGCTGACAAAGGTGTGATGTCCCATCAGTGTGCAGTCCTGGGGACACATGTGCAGCAGGCACAGCAACAGCCCTCACCTGGAACCCTTTCACTTTGCAAAACCGTTCAGGGGGGATAATACTCTCACATTTGGTTGGTGAGTTAGCAAAATCAGAGGGGACTGACGCTGAGTTTTATGGAGTCGCTGATGATTTGTGCTGCTGTCAGCAACAAGTTAAATGAGCCTGGTGCTCAGCAGACAGCTCAGTGCGTGCGTCTCCTGCGTGTGCTCCTCTGCGCTTCGTGCCCAGAGCGCACCTGATGTGCTTTGCCACCCAGCTGCCATGCACATGGCACTGCTGCAGTGGGTGGTGTTGGCAGTGCACAGCCATCTGGACCTTTGGGGATGATGAGGCCATGGGAGGGATGCAGGAGGTCCCGCTCAGCCCAGTGGTCATGCCCTGGGTTAAGGGCCTGGGGGGGTCCTCCCATCAGCTTCAGTTCAGATTGCTGCCCTCAGACTGCTGAAAAACGGCCAGGCAAAATCCCAGCCAGCCTGCCAGAATGCAAGCTGAATAATGAGGTGGAGGTCATTATAGTTTGCCTCCTTAAAAACATACATAGATTATTCTTAATGGAGAGTTAATTGTTTTATTATTCTCTCCAGATGGTTCTTTACGTTCGCAGGGGAATGGATGTAGCCCGGGATTCAGACTGCTGCGAGTGGAGCTGATAACCAAAAATGCAGCTTCAACACAGATCAAGATACGAAGTAATAGAATATATGTACATATTCCACCACAGTATCAGATTTTAAATGTTATTTGCAGGGTGCAAGTGCCTCTGCCAGTTGGGGGGTGCAGTGGGCTGTGGGTTTGCTGTTTCTCCCTGGGAGAGGTGAGGTTGGGTGCCCAATCCCTGAGTCCTGCAGCTGATCAGCCACTGCCAAGTGAGGAGATGCGTGTGGCTGCTGGTGAGGCGGCAGTGAAGGCTGCTGTCAGAGATGCAGGGTTATTGTATGGAGGAAGCAGTCAGATGTCATTTCTCCATTGGTGTGTTGGTAGCAATGAAAGAAGACGTG